TTCAAGCCATCCTCACTTGACATTGCCGAAAGCCTGATCTCTCCTACCCTTGAATATCCCCCCCCCCGAACCAAATTTCCTCGCTGACACGACACAATTTGGCACCCTCGCTGAGGGTGCCAAATGTGTTGCCTCGCGCGGCCCTGGGCCTGTGGTTGAGAGTCACACACAGATGATGCAACGCTGAGACTCGGCTAGGGGAGCTGCCCCTGGCTCAGTGCTGGAAATTATTCGGAATTCGCAGGCATCCACCCCTGCATTTCTCGCGACTAGGTCTCAGTCTTCGCGGATTACACACATTTTACATATCATGCACGGAATGTGTGTTCCATGATAAAATAATATTGCATACAAATTATATGTATACACACATGTATGTGTGTATACATATACATATACGCGTAGGCATATAAATATAGAGATATATATATATATATATAAAGAGATTCTTAACCAGCAAGCAAGCAAATAGCGATAACATGAGTCCAGTTGTGTTGCAAATGTTGCGCCACATGTCTCTTTGCCGCCGAGTACACCCGTGCATCAAAATCCAAACTTTGGCAAGCTCTGATAATGTATAGTTGTAGCTCGCACAACTGCAAAGGATCAACCAGCCAAACACCATAAAACAGATCTATGGCCACAAAACACATCACCATGTTAGTTGAAATATTGGGGCACAGACTTGTGCGACATTCATACATTCATCGCGCCCCTCGTGTAAAGCAAAAACCCACCATACCACGACGCCCACAAAAACCAAAGCAGTTGTCCGGAACTCAACTGCAGGCGCAAGCGTGATTGAAGAGTCAACCACAGAAGTTGCCTGACAAGTCGCGGACTAATAAGCTGCCGAATACATTGAGTTGGGATAAGTTCCAAACGTTTTTGACATAACCCTTTCGGCACATCCATCGTGAGAACATGGTCAAGTAGCTGTTTGTGGGAGTGTCATAAGCTCGAACCGGTTTGAGTGGCTAAGCTCTAGGACGGAACATGCTCAAGGCTCTCGATGGATAAGAATACGGAGGAACCACGCTTCCAACGTCTATCGATCTGATACGATAATCTACAGACGAGGTAGGAAAGTGGTCACCTTGCTTGAAAGTATACACTTGCTTTCGGGAAGAGTCTACCTGTTACTTCGCTTTAGTTTGCCTTGGCAAAGCAAAAACTGTCTAACGCTACGAAGCATGTGTTTTTGAAGCACAGCCGAAAACGGCAAGTGTGATAGCGACCCTGACTAACACATGTTTAATAATGACCCGTATTATGGCTTGCGCCTGGGCGTGATCCCCAATTTGACCATTTAAAACGATTACGAATTGCACAGCCTGTGTTTCAAGATTTAATCATGTTGGTCTCAGTCTCCTGAACCTTCTGGAATCTAAACGCCTTCGAGACTTAACCAGCGTGTCAAGCCATCCATGTCGTTTCCGCAAGTTTCGCGCAAGCTAAGCACCACATTGCATTACATTACATTACATTACGTTACACACATACATGCATACATGCATACATACATACATACATACATACATACCTACATACCTACATACCTACATACCTACATACCTACATATCTACATACCTACATACCTACATACCTACATACATACACACATACATTCATTACATACATACACGCATATATGCATATTTGCATGCATACATACATTCCACTACATCACATCACATCAGCTTGCCTTACCTTACCTTACCTTACAATACATTACATTACATCGCACACATACAGTACATACACACATACTAGTCGCTTTGTCCACGTCGTTAAAGTTCTCTGTCCCTCGCGGTTCTTGACGGTCGAGCTTTCCACGTCTTGGAAAGTCTCTGTCCGTCAGTGTTTTGCTGGTTGCTTTTTCCACGTCGTTAAAGTTCTCTGTCCGTTACGGTTCTCAACAGTCGCGTGTTCCATGTTTTTGAAAGTCTCTGTCCGTCACGGTTCTTACTGGTCGCTTTTTCCACGTCGTTAAAGTTCTTTGTCCCTCACGGTTCTCAACGGTTGCTTTATCCGTGCCTTTGAAAGTCTCTGTCCGTTACGGTTCTTACTGGTCGCTTTTTCCGCGGCGTTAAAGTTCTCCTACTGGTTGCCTTTTCCACGTCGTTAAAGTTCTCTGTCCGTCACGGTTCTCAGCAGTCGGTTTTGAATGTTTTTGAAAGTCTCTGTCCGTCACGGTTCTTACTGGTCGCTTTTTCCACGTTGTTAAAGTTCTCTGTCCCTCACGGTTCTCAACGGTCGCTTTATCCATGCCTTTGAAAGTCTCTGTCCGTTACGGTTCTTACTGGTCGCCTTTTCCACGTCGTTAAAGTTGTCTGTGCGTCACGGTTATCAACGGTCGCGTGTTCCATGTCTTTGAAAGTCTCTGTCCGTCACGGTTCTTATTATTGGTTGCTTTTTCCACGTCGTTAAAGTTCTCTGTACGTCACGGTTCTCAACGGTCGTTTTTCCCATGTCTTTGAACATCTCTGTCCGTCACGGTTCTTGCTGGTCGTTTTTTCCACGTCGTTAAAGTTCTCTGTCCCTCGCGCTTCTCAACGATCGCTTTTTCCATGCCTTTGAAAGTCTATTTTGTCTGTGTGTGTAAGTTTGGTTGTCCGTTACTGTTATTGTCATTGTATTTTTGGTAGTTGCGTTTCTGCTCCTGCTTATTTGTGTTGTTTCTTGTTTGTTTGTTCCTTGTTCTTGCTTGTTGGTCACTGTCTTTTGGCTGTTCCTCTTTAATATTCAAAGGTATTGCTGGTAGTACATAATTGGGCGCCGTAGCTGGTTGAAATTGATTTGTTTTTTTCAGTTTGTGTCGGTTTTTGCCGTTTTTTTTTTTTCTCCTGGGGGGCCTTACGATCTGTTCACCTACGGTCTGTTCCCCGAAATTGTTTTAGTGAGAAGGGCTTGAAAGGCGTTGCCTTGCGCCAGGTTTGCCA